TGCACGTAGATGATTTTTGTGATCCATATAGACGTCCTAATGTACACCATATTTCGCTGATTAACATCGGAAAACTGATGTATTTCAAATTTGAGAATTTGAATGATGCAAGCCTATTTCAGTTCACATCCAGAGGTCTGTGGCAAGATCTTGTCATAGTGCACAGTCATGGAAGAGCAAAACGTGAACGTAAGTGATTACTGACTGAATATGGATTTGGTCAATTATGAACCCTTAACAATGACAAAAACTTTTCAGTCTACTGAAAGTATTCAATGATTTCTCTAGAAAAAATTGCGTGAGCCTGAAAAATCACTCTGATCAGTACCTTAAAGAATCTTGCCTGCGAATGACTATCATCATTAGTATTTTCCTATCATCTCAAAAGATACAATTACGATCTTATCGTTCATTTCTCAACTAACCTAATCAGCTCCAACATCTGCTTGGAATGAATGTTTGGAAATGAGTGAGAATTATGACAATCGATGAATTCACTGCGCTAATCGAAAGTTTTGTTTTTTCAATGCTTTTGGATTTTCAGAAAACATGCTTGAAAACGACGAACAAGGCGAATGTACCAAATGTGTTCAGGTGCAGTGCCCACCTGGATCACTTGGCCCACCAGGAGTTGACGGTGAGGCGGGAGTTGATGGGGACAAGGGAAGATCCGGAAAATCTGGATTGGATGGTTTAGACATGGCTCTTGATGGTGAACCAAGCTCACCGTGGTGAGTTCTTCCAGCTCACCAAGAAATTGTCACAATTCGGCTTTCAGCCACTAAGATATGCAGATGTAGCTGTCAAGACACCAATTGATCATCTCTAGTGCAACAATTTTGATGATATCACTCACCAAATAAGTATTCGATGGATTTATCAAGTATTTTTCCCTCAGACGTTCAGTATCGTTTATCTTTCATTGAAACAAACGTGCAATTTCTTCTCAAGATTCTTCAGTTGCCTTCATGCATAGTGCTCGAGACATACCCACATCCAGTATTTTTCAGTGTCATTTGTCCAGTAGGTCCACCAGGAAATCGTGGGCAACAAGGTGAACATGGTCGAACAGGAGGGCCTGGAGAACCAGGTCGGCATGGTATATCGGGAAGGCCCGGTAGACCTGGTCGTGTTGGCGAGGCAGGCCCTCAAGGACCTGCTGGAGAACTTGGCGAACCTGGAATTAAGGTAGTTACGATGTCCCGAACACTTATCAAATGTCTATAAACATGGATTTAAGGCTATAAATGTAAAGAGTTCTGCAAAGATTCTCCGCCAAATTTTGATCATTATTGTTTCAGGGTCCTCCCGGTGACGATTCCATAGGCGGGACAGGAATCAAAGGGCCACCAGGTCCTTCAGGACTGCGCGGTCCAAAAGGGCCGCCAGGACCAAATGGTATACCGTCAGGCGATTATGGCCCACAAGGGACGAGAGGAGAAGAGGTAAGTCGACGTTTGACAGTTGGTTCGAGCGCAAATAATGAGGGTTTCAGGACTGAAAATCAAGGATTTTGGTTTTTTTAAACTTTAACAATCATTCCAAGTTCACCTTATTGCGGAAATACGAAATGTTTGTCATTGCAGTGATCAAATGCGATATTCTTTCAATACATGCAGTTTTCATCCATCTTTATATTTATAGGTTCATACATAATCGAATGATTCCTTTCATCGAAAGTACCTCTTATCTGTTATGAATGAGAAAAGTATCGAAAGAGAATGCGAAATACGGCAACCTTCAAAACAATTTAATATTCTATTTTAGGGACCAACAGGACCAGATGGAAAAAGAGGCGAGCATGGCCCTTGGGGTCCAGCTGGTGCACCTGGAGGAAATGGCGAACCTGGCAGATATTGTCCATCTAACTGCGGCGTCCAGCAACTCGTTGGTCCTTCGATTAGTGATCTGGATACTTCGGATGATTACTTCATGACGTTTGGACAGGAAGAACGTTAAGGCGATAGTTTCAGAACACGCTGTCATACATTGATATAAAACTGATCGTTCTTAAAATGAACAAAAAAATTCCTTGAAAGCAAAATGAGTTCGGTCGATCCTAATATTCTATTTATTCCATGGCATTATCATAGAACTATGGCAATTTCATGATGTTTCGAAAGCCTTTAGTAACGTTACTACACTATAACCAAATGGTTTCCGAACTTCGTCATTCACTTCACTCGTAACGGTTAATAAAATAAATATGTAACATTCTTATATCATGTCAGTATCGTTCCATAACATTATAATTTGAATCGATCATGATTGGACTTATCATTCTGTCATAAATCTCAATTGTTTTTGCCCGGTTGTTCAAAACGTTGGTGGATAACTAAAATTCACGAGCGCCATATCAAAACCATCACAACAAATTCAAATAAAGGCAAATTTCGGTTCACTAGCTGAAAGCCTCATGAAAATTTTTATTTCACTTACAATGACACATGACAGAACGGATAACAATCAAACACTTATTTATTCAATCAGGAAATACAACTTCTTGAGAATTTTTACCTTTCTGTTATCACATATATCACCAATATCACAATTTTCCACATGAATTGAATAGTATAGCTGAATAAATTATTTACAAAGAATGATACAACGAACAAGCATATATAATAGTCCTAAATAATAGTTCGAAATCAGATCACTGAATTACACGTCGATCAAATTATCGCAACCTAAAATGTTCCGATCCAATTTCCTTTTTCGGCACTCATTCCTCCTCTTNATAGATAAGGGACAACAGAGTTGTGAGAATGACTTCGAAGCCATCTCCTTTGACCAATGGTTTTGCCGTTTCGTTCAATCTTTCGGCTTCTTGACGCATAATAATTTTTCGTTCACGCATCATCTTCACTTCTTCAGGTGTCAACTTCGGTTTCGCTGCCTGTTCCTTTTTGGCACCAGCCTCCACAACATTTTTAGTTTCTGAATCGAAAACAATGCGGTTTATGCCAGCATATATGATATATTTACTCTCCGGAAGCTTGAAGTTATGCTGCGCGACGGGACAACATAGAAATATAATCTTGCTTCAGGATCGGTGCTTGAACATGAAAGATTTCATAAAATCAGTCAATGTGACCGTTTAGATCAATGCGTATGGTTATCGCATTAAAATTTATCTTGTTCTCATCGGCAATCCAACTACTGTTTGAACAACTAGAGTCGAGCTTCATAATAAGATTATGAGGATTTAGCTAATTCAGTTTGTTGAAAGAATTTGCGCAAATGTGCCTATCTTCCCGTCATAATGGTAACGTCTCCTGAAACTCTCCCATATTCACGTCCCAGTTTGACACTGGAATTCTTCACTAACCTTTCTCTTCATCATTTCCAGCATTCTCAGCTTCTTGACCTGAAATATTAGGTTATATTAGCTGATGAGACCGTTTAGATCAGTGCACATGGCTGTAGCTTGAAAGTTTAGCTTTTAGGGAAGAGAACTCTCTGATCGACAATCCTAGCTTTTGTGACCAGTTAAAGTTGTGTTTCATAATAAAATTATAAGGATTTAGCTAATTGACTTTGTTGACAAAATTTGCCCAAATGTGTCCATCATCCCGTCATAACTGTAATATTTCCTCAAACTTTCCCACATTCACCTCACGATTTGACATTGGAACTCTTCACTAACCTTCCTCTTCATCATTTCCGGCATTCTCGTCTTCTTGACCTGAAACATCTAGTGATAGTAGTTAATGGGACGGTTCAGACTAATGCATGTGGTTATTGAGTGAAGATTTAATTTTTATAGAATAGAATTCTCTCATCGACAATCCAAACTTTTTAAACAACTAGAGTCGAGCTTCATGGTAAGATTATAAGGATTTAGCCAACTGAGTTCGCTGACTAAATTTCCCTAAATGTGCCCTTCTTCCCGTAATAACCGTAACGTTTCCTGAAACTGTCCCATATTCATGTCACAATTTCACACCAGAATTCTTCGCTAACCTTCCTCTTGATCATTCTCGGCTTCCTCTTCATCATTATCGGCATCCTCGTCTTCTTGACCTGAAATATTTGGTGATATAAGCTAATGGGACCGCTTAGATCAGTGCATATGGTCATAGTGTGAAAATTCATCTCTTAGGGAAGAGAATTCTCTCATGAGCAGTCCAAGAGGTTATATGAAAATACGCAAGCATGTAGATTAAATCTGCATAAAAGTGCCCTCTTCCCGTCTTCCTAAAACTATAACACATTCAACTTTGGAACATGTCATGATTTGACATCGGAATTCGTCACTGACCCTCCTCTTCATCAGGTTCCATTCCGGCATTCTCGGCCTCTTGACTTTTAATAACATTTTGTTCAGGCAGCTTCTTTACTTTACCAGGTGCCACCTTTGGTTTCGTTACCTTTCCATTTTGTGCACCAGCTTCCCCAACATTTTCATTTCCTAAATCGAGAGCAGTGGAGTTTAAACCAGTGTATACCATATGCTTTCTTGAAGCTTTAACTTATGTTGTATGCCGGCAAAACTTAGAACTACAACTTTACTCTTAAGATCTGGTGATACAAGCTTGAACGTGAAATATTTGGTGATATGAGGTAACTGGATCGTTCATATCAATGCATATCACTTTTGCATGAATATTCATCTTTTTGGAAGGAAATTCTCTCATCGACAATCCAGCCGTTTTTTCACATCGAGATTATACGAAAATATGCAAGCATTTTGAATAATTCTGCTTAAAAGTGCCTCTGTTTCCGTCATATTGATAGCTCTTCCGCATTTAAATTTGGAACATATCATGATTTGAAATCTGAATTCGTCACTGACCCTCCTCTTCATCAGTTTGCATTCCGGCATTCTCGGCCCCTTGACTCTCAACAACCTTTTGTTTAGGCAACTTTTTCACTTTAGCACGTGTTCCCTTTGGTTTCACTACCTTCTCATTTTGTGCGCCAGCTTCCTCAACGTTTTCATCTCCTGAATCAAGAAGAACGAAGTTTAAACCAGTGTATACGATATGATTTTTCGAAGCTTCAACTTATGCCGTGGGACGGCACAACTTCGAAACATAACCTTACTTATCAACATAACCTCACTCATGATTTAGCTAGAGCATGAAATATTTGGTGGCACTGGATAATGGGACTGTCTAGATCAGTGTGCATGGTTACTGCGTAAAGATTCATCTTTTTGGGAAGAGAATTCACGAATCAACAATCCGAACTATTTTTCACAACAAGATTGTACGAAAATATGCAGCAGCTTCATTGATTATCTGCGTAAACGTGTCATTGTTCCTGTCAACTTAAAACTCTTCCCAAAGCTCCTTCATATTCGAATTTGGAACACTCAATGACTTGACGTTGGAATTTCTTACTAACCTGGCGCTTCATCAGTTTCCTTTTCGGCACTCCGTTTATTCTGCATCATTTTGGCAGCAACCCCTCCGACGACCGCCAGTGCTCCTGCCCCAGCCAGAACAGTCCCCAACCCGATGCCCCCACCTTTTTTGCCCCCACCTCCGCCTTCACCTTGACCTCCGGCTTGCTGTCCACCGTTTCCTTGATCAGCCATTTGTTGGCCGATATCCTGCATATCTTGTATATCTTCACCCGATACTTTCTTCCCACCTAAAATCAAAAAATACTTCCTGCTTGGCTATTATCTTTAGTTTGAAGTATGCAAATGATCTGTCTGCTATAATGCAAGTGATGTGTCGAAACTCATTTCTTGTCTGTTTGTTTGAGTGTCAAATATTGTCAAACTTGTCAACCCCATCTTCCAGCTGACCGTATAATATCAAACGCGTGACCTTTCTCGCTTCATTTTTCTGAACTGTTTTGCATTCCATTTGTTTTTTTTTAAAAAATACCCTTGATGACGTTTTGTCATTATNCATTCCATTTGTTTTTGTTTTTTTTTTGAAAATACCCTTGATGACGTTTTGTCATTATCAGCTGTAGTCATAGACCAGCACTTTCCTTGTCATTCCATTCCCCATTCATTTTTCTCAGTTTACAATCAATGCCACACAAAACGCAACGATGAGCAATCCACGAAATTAACAACAAATGCACGGCTCCACCAAAATGAGGCCAATTTCACTTCGAGAAAAAAAAACGACACTCATTGATTCAATGAGAACTGATATCCTCATTGATTGAAGAGAAGAAGTGCCGAACAAATCATCACAAGGCAGCAAGCGACTGGCTCTTCTCTCACATGGGAAGTTAATCAGTAACAATTTACACGTTCGCTAGCTGACAAATAAAACCGCGAATGGATTCGGAGCAGAAACGGAGGAATAAAATAAACATAGGAAATGCTGCTAATTGATTTCACGATGAAATGCACTGGATCTGTGCTATCAGCTAATTGCTTTCGTTTAAAACTGTTGCATACACTTGTAGGCTTTTAAATTCTCTTCCATAGTATTCATAACAAAATTGAGGACCGGAATCAATTCATGATAGTAGAGTACCGGAAATGACACATCATCTCACTCAATCCGTCATTTCAATCATCAATCTAGTACTCTTGTCTATTAGTAGATAAGTGTGAGTGATTTTAAAATCATTAGGAAATTTGTTAGCATTAGAATTTGCGAGTAAAACAAGCAACGGAAATTCATTTAGAATGTTCCAAATTTAAATTTGAAATAAATTCAAATTTGAAGTCTTTTAGACGGTTATATCTCCTCATTCGCAAATCAAACAAGCTGGAGGCGCTCATACGAATGACTCAAATTCAGTTTGCTTAACAAACCTTGCGCTTCGCCACCCCCATCTCCTCCACCGTCTCCTCCACCATGTTCGCCTTTTCTTGCCTTTTTTTTACCTTAACGGAATCAGTTCATGAGTAGATTTTTGGTTAGTGGCCGTGATAAGACTAAGAACTTGAAGATGTCGAATTGAGATTCGACAATTAAAAAATTGCAAATTATCAATTGAGATTCGATAAACATCGCTCCCTCGAAAAAATCTGATTCAGTACCAATAAATATGATTCCCAATCCGCAAAATTGCCTTTTAAACTGTTCATCTCACCCTCAACTGCACGCTTTCGGTGTTACACACTAACCATTTCAACGAAACTGGAGCATTGTCTTAATTCACCATATCATGTGAATTCATCCATTGCTTTCCGCAAAGTTATGTTAGGACTCGTCATTTGAGCAAAAATTACCACTAGGAGTCGAAAAAACTACCTTTACTAGCTTTCTTTTCACCCTTGCTCGCTTTTTTACCTTTGCTCCCTTTTTTACCTTTGCTCGCTTTTTTACCCTTGCTCGCTTTTTTACCCTTAGTTGCTTTCTTCCCTTTCCCAATCGATCGTTTGCCTTTCATTTTTTTCCCAAACGATTTTTTGCCTTTCGCCTTTTTCCCAAGTTTTCCTTTGCTTGACATTTTCTTCATTTTTCCACCGCTCACCGCTTTTTTTGCCTTCGATCCTTTACTCATGCCTTTACTCATGCCTCCTACAATCTTGTTTTAACTATTTTCTGTTGCATATACGTCTTGCTGTCATACTTCTTGACCACAACTGTATGCCTCGAGAGATCTTGATAAAACATTCTCGAGAGCTAATTGAAAACTCAATTTGCGTTAGTGCTTGCGAAACACTGATGCAAATTGACTCTTACGAAACATTAATGCAAGATCTCTGTGCATTCTTGCAAGATCTTGCATTAGGCTTTCGCAACATAAAATTACTTTTTTTGATCAACAGAACACACAACTGAACGTCAAAATGATTGATTCAAATCAATTAGCAAGTTCTAATGTGCAACTCAGAGTGACTTCAACGATTCTTACCTTTCATTTTCTTGACACCTTTCATCTTCTTCATACCTTTCATTTTCTTGATACCTTTCATCTGCTTACCCATTTTCTTGCCCAGTTTCTTGCCACCTTTGCCCAACTTCTTACCACCACGCTTACCAAGTTTTTTTAGGCCACCGAGTTTTAGTTTCATATTTATGTTCTTTTTCCTTTTCCAATACGGATTATCAATGAAAGGCTACGATAATGAGTGGTTCAAGCAGCAAATGTGACGTTTATGCGCTCATCACAAACCCTAAAACCACTCATAACACTTAAAAATCATAGCAATGATCAGGTTACGTCAAATTTACTGCACCAAAAACATATTGCGATATGAATTTGCATACATTTTTCAACTGTCTTATCGGTATGCACAAAGTCACCACTCTAATCAAATCAGGCTAGTTTTCCATTGAGTTTATGACCGTTTCTTATGATAATCAAATTCATGCTCGCCAACGAAAATATTTCAGCGATAAGCTGGAAGTACTCATAATATTGTCTTGGTGAATGAATCCTATTGGATGAGCACATAAGAAAAGTGTCCATCCAGCCCTACTAATACATGCACACAAACACATCACATGCTTTCCTTACTGCTTAATCCATTCATTCCTTTAATTGCTATTCGTTTTCTCGTAACAGCATCATGTTGTTTGGCCGATTCGTCATGGATTGAGATTGTGTCTAATTGATTCCTTCATTATGAACGATTAGATTCTCATCGGTCTCATTCGATGTTGTCCTATTGGAATGGTTGATTCGATTGTTTCGCGTTGTTTCAGAGTAAATCCATTCGGTGCTTACAGTGATCAGTGTGCGCATTAGCTGCCCAGCTGAGCACACAAACATATGATTACGCATGTGAAATCGAATGAAACCTTGAAAACAATGTGAATCGTGCGTGTAGTGCACCAGTCTAGCGTTTCCATCATCTACCATGCTCGCTCGTCTCAAATATTCCAGCCTTTTTAAACTCTAACTTCGGATTTGTCATTCTTCGCAACTACCAACTCTTTCACTATGTTTCATTGGTGGTGTGCAAATCCCTAAAGTCACCAAAAGCGCACACATTTTATACCGTCCTTGCCTCTGATAGGTTCTCGACCAGTCGAATAGAACTAAAGCAATAGCTTAAATTACATTTGCTGAAATTCACTTATAGGCAGACTGTTTTGAAGTAATTTTTTGCTACTTATCTGCTCATATTGCATCTTGTACGTGTATGCTTTCGTTCGCTACGGATCATTTGGATATTGCAAGGAGCGAGATTATTCCGAATGGAATACCGAATGGAAATCGTTTCTGATTTGTTTGTTGCATGCTTGGGTCTTCTTCGCACACATTATTTGTGATAACCAGTGCCGTGTTCAGGTCGTCTTTGCTCTACGATATAATATCATTATTGCATAACAGCTGTATGGCACGCAAAGTTCTATGGAGTTGTATTGAAGAAGAAAATGTAAACTAATGATCAGTAAGGCCGCTTTTTACATGCTCCAAAGTGGTTTATTTGGAATTACCTTGAAAGACACCTCATTTTGTCCGATAATGGGTCCTCAATAGTGTTTTTGCGTAAAGTTTCAGTATGTGTCGCCATTCGATATAGCCAATAAATGGAGAAGAGTTCAACTTCCAGCAATGGATTTTTTGTGAATAATGATTTGAACCAATTGAGTTGCTGAGAAATTCACACAATTCGAATGAGGAAGTTAACCCCTTTGAATGAGATCCCCTAACTGAACAATTATTCATTGAATATCGCTTCACGCAACAACGCAAAATCAATATGGTTATTTACGATGGAATTTCAGTTTTCTAATCCTCCAATAGCGTGCGATCGGGAATGTGTCAAATGAATTAGAATCAAGTAAATGAACGGGGTTCACTCATTTCCATCCCCCTCATCACAATTGTAGATGCGCTTTTCTGGCTTAAGAAGGTTCTTGAATAAAGTCGTGAAATAATTCCTTCTCATTTCTTGGAACTGTGCAGTAGTTCATGCTTATTTCAAGGGCGACCTAAGTTTTCAATTGTATAATTTTCCACTTAAAGTAATTTCCATGAGTGAAAGTTTCTCACTTTCGTTCAGTTATTGAGATCCAGTTGAAATTGATTACAGCAGCCACATTTTTATCTCGTATTTGTTAAGAACAATAAGAACTTCATGACGAAATTGGATTATAATGAATGAAATTTGCCTNTAACACGATCGATCATTATTGCTGAATGAAATTAACTTGAGAAACGAATGGAGGACTGATGTACTTTTGACAATACTTGTTTTTCATATCGTTAATGGTAAGCAAGCAAGGCTCCGGTTCAAATAACTTCTTTTACAAACTATATTTTATGTTCGATAATACACATAAAATAGGCTGCGTTATGCACAGAAGTCATAATGTGCGCCATTCGAATGTGCCATTAAGACGCTTTAATATTCTTCTTCAGCATCTTTCCAACCTATTATTACTTTCAGTATTGAAATGATTTAATGCCGAGTACGGAACTGAAATCAAAGGCCTATCGACCAATTATTTCAGCATTAAAATGAAATGAAAATGAAAGTGTCAGACGTAACGGTTTGCCTAGAGTTGTTATTATTGAATTAGTACTTGAAGATAATACTGCGTCATTATTTCTAAGTATAACTCTCAAATATCGTTCTCGATTCACTGAGGAAATCATCCTTTTCACGACCACCATTCTAATAATCGATTCTAACTGTCAATGATCTTTTGAAGTTGAGTTGTCGTCAGATTCACAGAATCTTCGCAATTTGTTTACCACAGACTACAGAATAAGTGAACTGATTTTTTTTTTCGCAGTGAAACTTCGTAAGTTAATTCAGATTATGACTGACAGTATGACTAGCTTTCAGCTTATTCGTAGATTCATAATCAGTCCTCACTTATTATGAATCTACGAATGATTTTTCCATACACGCTTTTGATGGTCATTCTGGTCGTTATAATCACATACAAACTCTCCAAACCTTGCTATTTGATTTCGCGATCGAAAAATGAACAAATTTTCAGAAAATGTAATTGAATAGGATATTATCAAGATAGCTTTGAATTCACCATTTTGCGAGTGCTTCTGAGAAATTCTATTATCAAATGAACTGTTTGGAGAAATCAGCTGGCTAGAAACAGTAGGTGAAGAAGGAAGAAAACAGTAACCTTTCGGAAATTCACAGGTGCTTTAGATGATTTTTAAGGATCTGCAACTAAACGAATTTACACACACATACATACATCTGCATACGTACATGCAATGACTGAATTCATTTATCCACATATCACTTTCCATTCATTTTCCAAACTTCATTTAAAAGAAAATTGAGTTCATTACATTACATCGATGCACTCGTTTAATTTGCTCTATAGAATGTCATCGAAATTCAGTACAAACGAACGCATTGCACACTAAATACATTCATTCATTCTCATTGCCTCGCTTTCGCCGTCTCATTCTGAAGCATCTGCAATTTTCCGACTCCTTAGTCACACTCGAGATTAGTATTCGAATGGACATTTAGCAATATATCCGTTTATTTACACCTGCTAGCTACTATATCCGTACAAACTTCAACTCATCTTGCACAAAACACTCTTCTCGCACTCTCTGAAATACCAATTCCCTATCTGACAATGAAAGTATTTGAGAGGATTTGCTGATCAAATATCAGTGAGAATATTTGCTGATCCAGTTATCGAGTGAAAATGACTTCAAAAATTGTTCTTTCCGATACAGACTTGTTCGAAACCACCATAACAGACTATATCAATCCATTCGTTCCGTTTTCACTTAGCGAATCATTAAAAACTCGCTTAAAACATTAAAACTTAACGTTCCTAATTGCTTAAAAGTGTAAAGTGCAGTTTAGCAATGTCTTCACTATCGTACATTTTAATAACTTCTCTCCCAGAGACACTGAATTATTGATGAGTACGCAAACTCTGTCCATTCATGATCACGTGCATTCGGATTCAAATTCTATCATCTTTCCACATGCTCAGCTCTCTGTCTCAACCTTTTTAGTGCCTGAAAACCGCAAATTATCACAATTATCGCTTACAATTTGTTAATATTTGGCGTATGGGTACTTATTTATAATGCTGATGATACTGAACTGAGATATTCACAGTGAGAAGTGCATCACCAAAACAGTCAAGGACCGCAGAACATGCTGTAAGAGGCGAATGAGAAAATGCTACGAATATATCGAAATGAATATCGAAATATCCAATTCATTGAAACTATTGCAACTATAAAAACACTTTGAACATCATTATTCCATTTTCTGACATCCATTTGCATCATGCAGAAGAATTTTAAGCTTATTGTTGGTGTCGTTGTTGAGAATAGCAATCAGCACAAAAAATAATGGTTCGTTTCAATTTGAAGCACTCTCAAGTGTCCTCTAAACATCCCATTCGATGGACGTTCCCTCTACAACGATGATCATTTCAAATTCAAACAACAGCCCTTAGACGAATCGGTTAGCTGGATGCTCCAAATTGCCGACTGAATAATAGCGCATCTGAAATTTTAAAACACAGCTTTTCGTTTCGCTGCCTCGTTTGGCTTCAATCCGGCAATCAACATGATACTTCTTTGCGAAATTCACCACCGCACATTTTAAGCAATGCATTCAACTGAATGATCTCTAGTTGGAAGTGATCAAACGAAAGAATTTCCGCCTTCAGATGTTCTTATTGGATTTCTCATAGCGGNCCTCCAAAGGATGCTAGACTTAGAAGAAAAAACTTTCCCAGCCCATCGTCTGTACTAATATTCGAAATCCATTTATACGTCTCAAACAAATGAGAATAATGACTTTAACAGTCTTTGAGACTGTTGTATTTATGAAGGGTCTTTTTCATTACGATGACCGCTTCATTTGAATCCAACTAACGACAAGGCAGAGATTGGGAACTTCTTTTATTAAAAATAATCTTGATTTGTGCATTCAGTTGGGAAATTCTGATTGACATTCCATCGGCATTACATGTGAGTAGGTGTCTTCGAATAACGTCATCCGTCGTCCCGATTAATCCTTTATATTGAGCACAGGCGAAGATAGCCAAAACAAGACTTCATCGAGAGTACACGTTATCTGCACTTAACTATCAAGCGATCTGAAGCAAAGTGCATATCCATCCATTCGAGTGCTTCAAGTGCTTCCGTCTAGTGATCTCTTGAACGGTTACATCATGTGATTTCTCGAACGAATATCAATCGTCCATTCACGTCGTCCTTTCATCAGTCCAGTGAATTCAATCGTTCCGGGCAAATCTTAATGTCACTTTCATGGATTTTTCCACCAACTGACATGAAATAACTCAACAAATGTCGTAACAAAGTAGCTAGTTCGAAAGAGTCACTTTCATTCCAAACAATTTGCAATCATATACTCGAGAGTCTAACCATCGCAGTTTTCAAATACCCATCATCAACTTATCACCTCTTGATATAACCAGACTATTCGGTGTCTTTCACATAATTCTTCTAAATTTTTTTTCGTAGAAAACATTCAGCTGAAATCAAATCGGAATTTCCCGCAGCTTATTTTCTACCAATTATCACAATTGGTGTTTGAAAACTGCTCGTGCATCTAAGAAAATCAATTTTTCTCGAAGGCGTTCTTCGGCATTCATTATTTGGTATTCAATGGGCTCATTGAAGCACCCACAATGCACCATTCTACCAAGTCGCAAGTCAGTTAGCAGCCATGCAGCCAAGCTATGATGTCTTTTTGTTATCAGTGGTGCTCATTTGCTCATTTTATTGAGCAGTTCTCCCATAGAACTCTCCTCCATACTGAGACCAAGTCATCTCATATGACGAATTTGATAGCGTACGGCATTAAGGAATAATTCATGGCCGATTGAAATATCCGTTTTCCTCAGTGAATCACATAAACCTGATCACTAATTCAAATAATTTATAGTGGATCAACGGGAGGAAATACAATTACGCTATCTGAGATGTAGAATACGATTACGATAGCCTTTAGAAACTTTCGAATAGTTTTAATCGAAACATTTTCTCATCAATACGTGTGAATACTTTTTCTTTAATCTGGGAATTGGTAAATGTAGTTTCTAAAATGAAGTTTCCATACAATTTCACTCAAACTGAAGCTGCCTTCCTTTCTATGCAATAAAATACAACAGATTCAAACAAACTGACGAACGAATCCATTTCAGTCCAAAAAAACTTGAAATTGTCTTTAACGAAAACGTTGAAATTGTCCTCGATTAAGTGTCCTCGTCATCGTCATTCATTTCCACGATGATTCTAAGTCTGCAAACGCAAGCATGCAAACCCTCGGCAATTTAATAAATCACTTGCGGCAATCTGATAAATCTGAAAATATTTTCCGGAAAAAGTATGCATCGTTTTCGACCCACCTTTCAATCATTTCACTGCATTTTTCCGTAATTAACCAAAAGGTCATCCGTCATCTGAAATACTCAACTTCGATAGGCTAACTCTACTCATCGCTTTAGTTCACCTCGAGCGTCCGTATTCTCATTTACAGTTATACGTTCTAAAAATTTATTGTTGAGAGAACTTTAGCCGCCTTCGACAAGAAATAATGGTCGATGGATTACCACATGCCGGCTGCTACACTCGACTTTAGTAATCATGACGAAGAATTTGGTGTCGGTGGTGGTGCTCCTGTGGATTCGTTCCTGTTTGCGCTCGTCGTTCCGATAGCAGGATTTTTTGCCTTCATTGCTGCAGGTGACCATTACACCTTATCAAAACCTCTTCTCGTTACTTCTAAAGTCAAATCAAAACCAACGAATATGATCCAGACTTATAAAGTTCAACAGAACTATGTTGACTCTGATCACGACTACGCTTTGATTTGCACGTTTAATCCGAGGAATTTTGCCATATTGCATGAAAAAAATAACGGAACATCGACAGTCTTTTTAGAACCTTGCATTTGATGATATCATTAATCCTTTTGAGGAGACATTCATATCCTATGGATATGAACAGTTCCTGTGCACATCAAACATAATCCGAGAATTAAACCGCTAACAAGTCTTCAAAAATTTCGCAATAAACTTGAAAAACCCATAATTGTTAGCGTTCAAATCTTGTTGTGGAACAAGTCATTTCCTGGCTTATTTGCAGGCTTACGGATAAACTTGTACATGCTCTGTTTCATTAGTGCCATTCAAAAGCGGATTGGCCGCAACTTTTGTCCACACGAACATTTTACTTGATTACTTTTCTGAATTTTCGATCCGACAAATTCGTTTTATCAGATCAGATCGAATGGAATCTTGAATAATGTCGGCTCCAATACAGAATCTTCTATCACGACCTGTGTCCAAGTCTTTTTCGTGATAGAAGATTCTGTACTTCATGTTTTTTCTTTTCATTCAATCTGTATTTACGTGAATGAATGAAAAAACGCTCACGGCCATTGAAAAGGAAGGGATTCATTTATGCTTCGAAGTTATGGTTAATCTTATTCAAAAGACTATGAAATTGTTGCATTAATGCAAAAATATTCAACTGTTTCCGCTGTTTTAGTGACGATCTTCTCATGTTGTTTTCCTTGCGTTCGCAACAGATGCTCGTCGGATGGTGCTAAAAAGAGTATGTCATTCGAAGTATGTCATTCGACGAGAACGGTATTATAGTGCGACCGGTCACCCCGACGTCCGAGAGTTTTCGTCGTAACTCCGCTCAAGCACAGTACAAATTGCTGATACAGAGCAAATATGAAGCACATTATGGGTTGGGTGTTCCATTTGCGTACTGCTCTGGTGAGGATTTGTAATCGCACATTGGCTCCATTCAATGTTGGCGTTTGTGAATAAGTGATGCACGTTCATGGCATCCATCTGTATAAAATTTTTCTATATTTAATAATCCTGTGATCCATTTCAACTCATTAGCACACTTCGATCGCGAACTCGTGCCACTATTTCGCACAGTTGCGATCACAAGCATATGATACGACTCTACAGCAATTACTGATTAAAAAGCGATTAGACGAGAGAAAAAAGGATAACGAAAACCAAAATTGAAATGACACTGAATCAAAACATTCAAAAAACGATAATACAAAATTCAAGCTTGTCAACATATTAGGAAATCTTCTGACTGCTCTTCCAAAACTACTGAGACTCAACGAGTGAAGTTATTCCTTCACTTCTACATACTTCAGCCACATTACGTACGCTCAATTCATGCATTAAAAATCAAAAACTCTAGCTCAACACGAGCCAGAGTTTTTTACTCTTGAGAAAATATTATTGTAATATTACTATTATGATAAATTCGTCCAACCTGCGTTCCCAGTACAGAATCGAAAAGAACTGATGTATGACGCATTTGGCAGAACTGTGTTGTTGACAGCTCGAACACCGTTGACTATTTCATTCCGCATTTAGCGTTTACCTTTTTGCGGTGACTTTTTTCACATTTCGTACCTGTTCACGAAAGAATTTCTACGAAAGTTAATGCTAACAATTATACATAACCAGAAATATGTACAGAAACATATGAATAATTAAACGAACATCAATCACTTAACATCAAACGAACGAATAATACCGCATGCCTCATAAAGTGCATTAAAGGTTTTCCATCAGTCCTATTTGATCTCATGAATCATTCAACGCTCAATTATTGTGCATACGGCACGCAAGCACAGTTGACTATGCACGATCAAATGAAGCAGATTAATATCACATTGACAAGACCCATCAAATATTCGGCTAAAAAGCTCTCGAGTCAAATAGGTCAAAAAAGTTGATTAATTCCTGCCATGCGGCATTCCTAGGATAAACGGCTGCCAATAAATCGCATGTCATAAATCATCACTATTCTACAGCAAATAATAATCGCTATAATTCAGCATCATGAACGAATAAAATTACTCAAATGCACCAATATAACAAAGCGATAGCATTATATAAAATGAATAAACATCACATTCAATATCACAGTTTCAAAACGATGAATTAACAAGTAAGTAAATACATGTGAACGGCGAGATAAGAAAACAAAATCAATCATCATCTGTATTTATTTCATATTAGTCTTCTGCATTCAATGCAGCTCGTTTATTATTCCATATTAGTTCATTCGAGCTTGCAAAAGGTAAGCAAACCCTGAAAAAGTTAGTTTTTATATGATCAGTTCCATTTTTCTTGAATAGTTCCAATATCGGTCTGGCCGTTCTCGAGTCACCATAAAGTGATCACATCATTTTGCACGGTTGTTGCAATCTTCTCATCACTGCCAATAACCAGATTCACCTCAATAACCAAATCCCTTTCCTAATACTGAATGCGAGCTTGGAGTGAACCATTTTCGCCGGATATTCACACATTTGAAGACGAAATTTCCCGTGATTTTCACTCGGATCGTTTAGTTATCACTGGAAAATCGATGATGTCCGCTCTAGCACCGGAATGTTTCAATATTGCGGCGGTAGAATTGTCGATTTCGATTGAATCTGACCACCGCAAGATGTGAATAATAATGTGAATCGAAGAGACTTTCATCCCGTTCCTGCGTCCGCGAACGATTCAGGAGTCGTTGTGCCCAGCAGGAAATGGCCGAATAGTCCATTTCGGGCATCATCTTGTTGGCGAACAAGAACCGCGAGCTGTCCAAGTCTGCCAGATCAGCTACCCCCAATATACAGACTCGGTGACGTTCCATGCCGCTTTTACAAGGCATTGGTTGGTCTTGCTGCTTCTGATTTGGATTTTGCCAAATCACACGCCTAAAATTATGCACTCTCAACAATACTTCTCCCGAATATACGCAGTCATTTTAACAAAATCAGCCATTTTTAGAAAAGTTATTCTTACTGCAATCAATCGGAATGCTTGATGCAGACAAGGTGTCGTCATCAGAAGAAAACTATTAAACGATATTGGATGCAAATATACACACCTCGTAATATAACCTCCGAAAGTTTCCAAACACTTTGTTGTGTATCCGCCGGGTGCATCTGAAATTTTTGTGAATCAAAAATCCTGAGCCATCAATTTCTCTCGGAGTGTTTGTTCATACATTCCCAAAATCATTTCGACAATTGCTGAAAACTGATACTTACCAAGTTCATCGCTGGACTGCAACGTTGCAAACAACATCTCATCAACACCGTAATGCATTCGATTGAACAAACGGATGAAAGTTTTCAAATTCAGATCGTTCACAATGAAGTCCACGAACGCTCTTGATAGGCTACATGTGGAACTTCCTTTCGTGATTTCCAATGTCCGTAAATCATTTTTCGATTCATCTGCAGGCGTTATGTTTATAATTCACTAACGATAAGCAAAAAATGAACAACAGACAAAGAATATTACACTATGACTTCATATTGCACAAAAATCTCTGCAAGACTTTTCTAATGGGCAAGTCTACCGAAAGTACTCATGCGATGAAACAAGAAGGTCAATATAAACGTTTCAGATCAAGATGACCTGCACATGATCACTTAGAATTACGACTGATCAATCATAACTGAGCATCTATACGAATATGGACCTTTCCGTACTCAATTTCTTAGAGCTTAAGTTTTCGTCCTGAACCAGCAATAAAATAAAAGTCTAAAATTAATCGGACAAAATGATGAACCTTTGAAAAGATGGAGTGCTTTATACGTCCAATTCGCATATTTGGGTATACGATCTGGAATCGCCTGCAATACGCTCACATCGTTGCTTCCGTTCAACGCTTTCAATGCGTTCACCAATTCGAAACCCGTACGCAGAGGAATATCATGATTCTGCAAAACAAACGATGAAATTATCGCATTCAACATAGCTGTATCATTACTATCCTAACGAAAGGGCTTCAGGTTGAACGAAATGAATGAATGAAAAAAAAGGAGTGAAACAGATAAAATTCTCTGCTATAATATATGAGGTTATAAGCCGATGACTACCTGCAGTGTTATAGCGTATTTCCATTCAGAATCCGTCTGTAGCAATAATCGAAGGCATTCCATGAAGGCACTCAGCATATTATGGCCAGCACTGTCAACTGTCCACTGTCGATCAGCCAAAATCACTACGTTCGGAAAGCAATTGGCTAGATTGCGCATTTGCTGCTTGAAAAGTGGCCTGGCTTTCTTATCCAGAATATAACAGAAACGATTTTGTGGTGCGTATTGCATCTTGAAGAGCAGTTCTTGCAGTATATAATCCTACAAAGTATTTAACATATCACTAAAAATACGAACACAGGAATTAACGATTGCAAAAAAATAATAGTAATGAATATATATTCAACGGCATAGGTTTCGTGCATGCCACTGCTCTCGCTTACACTGATGTTGGCCTCAACGAGTAAATTCAGAAGATGTTTCGATGTAGAGAGCGGTCATAAAGCGATCAAAAAGAATGACCCAAATAAGATCACAAACACATTTACAGCTCACCTTATAAACAATACGCGCGAATGCAATTGGGAATTGCAGTTCAGTTTCAGTTGGCTCCAACAAATTGTTCAAAACACGTCGTCGAACGGCCTCACATGACGACGTTTCCAGAAGGGCATCAGCCGATTGATCCAATGTCAAAGGAGCCTTAAATACAGAGATAGTTTTGACGTAATCATTGTTGCTGTCGTTCTCATTTTCGTAACCAAAGATGGCTCAAATGACAACATCTCGTAACAAATGGAAATCGCAGTGCGCCAACATTTTCAGACAACATCAAAATAAAAGTGCTTTGGATAAGCCATCAGTGTGATAGTCAAACGAAGACAGGATGACTTCTACACAAATGAATCAGGTTGCTTACCTTCTGTTTTTCAGCTGCGTAAGTACTGTTCTCGAACAGAAGTGAACAATCCATTTTGTGCTCGAAAAAGTATACCTCATCGTCTGAAAACGATATGTCGTTTAATGAAATCTATTCCAAGCTCATTCCGTCGCCTGTCAATCTGCGATTTTGCATGATCCTATCCTACTCTATGCCTTATTTGGCATTGCTCTAGGCCTGATAGCAATTCGATGAGAGAACTGAACAAGTACTCACTGTTCTGAACACTATATTATCGAAAGTGAACCTATGAAGCACATCGAAGTCACTATAGCTTTCGAGTAATCGTCTTAATAATAATCACAACACGATCCTGATAGTAAACAACAATCTTAAATCACCCTTCTGACTCTCCCGCAATCTTTAGTAACTAAACATACTCGCTCGCGCAAGTGATAAATTAATGTTTTCTGAATAAAGTAAACCAACAAAAATGAGCGGCTATAAAAACGAACCACTTTTGGAACTCAAGTTTAAATCGTCGTCCAGAGAACGTTTCGCTTCTTCCTGACCAATTTTCTCATTATTCACATTTGAGCAGCCATTTGAGTCACCTGAAACAATTGAATTCAAATGGAATATATAGAATTTTCAAATGATCACTACGAAGACGTCACTAAACCAATTACTTTACTATATTTCTCACTCCATTCTATCGAAACTCAATGCTTCCGATAGATCTAATCTCAACCTCGATGCAACTGATCCTTTTCCGTAATTATGAACAATAACAAAATACTGTAGCATGAAGTACACAGTTCAACAACCATACAAATGTGATCTTTATTATTCTTCATGGAGTGAGCACAATGTGTGTGTCGCTGTAAAGGAATTCCTAAGAATACATTCCCATAGAAAAACTATGACGATGCTCATGTAAATGATTCATGTTCAAAAAACAACTTACATTCAAAGACGAATTGCGCATCATTCAATTTCGACTGTATTAAACCAACATTCCACAGTAATGTGAGGACGCATAACACGCTAAGTGATAAAAGTAATTTGAAAATCGTACAAATTGAGTATCTTATATTCATCGCCTCTGAAATCGAAGCACTTATTTTGAATGACTCACAAAGAGCATAATTTAAAAAACTCTTTCGAAAAAAAGCTGCCATTCATTGAAAGGCAGTTTCTATAGTTGTTAGAATTGTAATGCACGCCATCATATCTCTATGAACATGATCCAGTGGTTATTGGCAGAGCAATATCGTTGATGAATTCAAGAAAAAAATAGGCATCATCCGTAAACAGAATGAGTAATAGAGCGAAGCTTGTGCATCTCACGCTTCACTTAAGTTTCAACAACGATGAGCAAAAATGCTTGGTTCCACTAAATTCACTTAAACTTTTGTCTAACTCGAAGGCAATAGAAACAACAAAAAAAAAGAGAATCCAATAAAAACGAACAATTTTGGTAGTCGTTGATGAATACAATTTCAATGACTATGTCAGCAATAGCGAATCACAACAAATTGATGTGGCTCCAACCCATAACATCTGTCATTCATATGTGCTTTTGCGGCCTTGCGTTTGTTTAATTAGCTATGTCGGTTGGCTAATCGTTCATTGTAACGCTGATCATGTCCTAAATAAACAATTTCAACATACATCATCAAAAATCAAACGAGTTTCAATAGAAAACCAAAAAGAGTAAAAGAACTTCATGCAAGCTGTTGCAATTACCACTGGTGGTTCTGTTTCTGTGAACTAGGAGAATGTTAAGAAGGCATGACTGAGATGACCAAATGACAAGGTTAATACTTCATGTTCAAGCAGCGATATGCTGGCGAAAAATCGTTCAAATAGCTCACTGACCATCCCATCCTAATCATTCAAATGAACAGATTAGTTTTTGAGAATTTTACACATTTCTGCAGGCAAGACAACCACTCTTTAATGACCGTGACTTAGACTCTACTCTAACTGAAGACGATATATGAGATGAAACTGAAACATCAACCACGACTGGTGAACAGCTTCGAACGTCAACTTCTCGGACTCGTTAAGAGTGTACTCAGTATTAAAAAAAAACACAACGATAACCAACGATAGTCTCAAATGCGTATCATAAGCAGAAGATACAACTGCGGTAACAATTGAAATACTATTACCATCAGAATTTTTCTATTCATTTCGTCATTTATGCATTCATTTTATTCAAGGCGCTTGCCCTACTCAAGGACATTTATTTACAAGTGCATTCTCTCGTACAAGTGAAATATTTTTCTTCTATCTGAGTGATTAATTCAATGATCATAATGACAGTCTTAACTAAAAACATCAATATTGTTATCACAGCTGTATCGTGAAGATTTCGACATGATATTTAATGCAACAGCGCTCGTTGGATTTCGGCAAACGTCAATCTGTGAGATAACATGTTGTTTGCACTGGTAATCAGTTAACTAGTCTCTGCATGAATAACCAATGAACTCGGTTAGAACAGCTGCATCAAAAAAGATGATGTGCGCGTAATTCCACGAACAATTCCTACGCTCAACAAAATTTATATTTATCGATTTGTACAAAATTTATCGACATCAAATCGCATTTAATGTGCTTCAGACAATTGCTCGAAATATAATTAATACATTGAAACATTCCTCTTCCTAGGCATTAGAAAGCAGAGGCAGATGACGATTTCCGATCTGCAAATGACTATTGGGAAGCCATATTACAAATGGAACTCAAAATCATATTAGACGATAATCATTGCTGAAGAAATACTCTAATCGACAGGAATGAAATGCTCAACGAAGTGCAACAAAAATTTTACGACACTCATATCTTTAAAAATACTCCTCGTAATTATGACTCAACTGATACGATTACAAATGAGTATCGCTGAGCAAACCTGTTCAGAGTTTAGGAATAGTGGCGAAGACAACTTAAATATCGCTTAAGTGAAAGAAAACTTTAACTGATGCGTACGATACACGCAACTGAACAATTCGAAAAATCTTATGCAACGAACAAAATTACATAAAGTCTAATAAAGAACGAAACTACACAACTAGAATTTCCGATGAATGACAACGATTATTCAAAATAAGAAATAAATGATGTGAAAATGCCACGAAAATACAAACATTTGCAAGTTCACATCATTGCTGACATTCGAAATGAAAGCAAAAACTGAAGTCGTCTAGAAAGGATGAACGAAAACTTTGTGTTTTCAAAAATGACAAATGAAACAAAAAGGCATTCTTAAGGAAGAACACAAACTCGCAAGATGGTGAGAAAAATGAAACAAAAACGTTCAGTGTTGAACTTGGATTATGGGATATTCGTTAGCATTTGTTTTGTGAGAAGACAAATGAGTGCAATGACAATCAAAATTGATAACAATAATAACAAGGATGATGAAGAGCAGACGAATGTGCACCTAAAGTAAAACAAATGTAGAATAAAGTTTCTAAATGCACTCACCACATCCACATATTGCGCTGAGTTCTCTTTACACCAACGGTGTAAGAAGATTTATTTGTTCTCGATGTTGAATGATTCCTAATGGCGAACAGCTGTCGTGCAGCTTTCAAACACACATCCTCCGAATACTCTTCATTCGTTCACCAAAAATCATCATTTGAATTGCCGCAGACGTTCACTTCGGCCACAACGAAAAACGTCCCCAACAATAGCTGTAAATTATCAGAAATAAGGCTGAAAACTTCAGCAAAATTCCCACTGATTATTGAGCGAAATGAAAGGCTAATTCAACCTTCACTTTCCGTACATTGCGTTACACAAAAGATAATAAGGAATAAAATTATACGTTTTTGATACGTCAAAACCATAATATTACCATTAGCGTTGTCGATATATTTATGAAATTTTCTATATAATGCAACCATATATTACCAAAATATTACCATGAATTGGTATCCTTGTCAATGACTCGAACGACTGATACCCTTCTCAATGAATTCGGAGGTCTTGAACATCGATCAATGAGGCCTCAGGAAAATGGAAATAGTAACATCAGACTGAAACGAATGAAGATCACATTATCTTCGGTGGTTTTTGAGGGGATGATATAGAAAAGCATCAAAGATGATCACATTTATAAGCGAATCATCCTCAACAAGAACAGTGAATAATTTTTGCTTCAGGTGCACAGAAGGAGCCGGGCTCAATTTTGACAATCACTGCATTAATTCACTCTAAATATTGAACACAGCAAGCCATTTTTCAAAAAAAAATGTACTTAGCATCATGTTCCCAAAGAGAAGAACTCATCTATCGATCTTAAAGCAGTGACAAATTTAGTAAAAAGACAATGAGCTCATAAGAGCTTTCATTTCAATCAATTCAATAAAATATTCACCCACACTTCGTTCATCCAATAAAATTAACCAACCTCTAAGATGCAATTGCTATCCGGATGTGTAGTTGTCAATTCAGCCATCCCAGGGATCGATATATTTCAGCTTATTAGTCGTTCACTTTGTTTGCCATCCCATGAATCTGACTGACCATTGCGACGAAACATTTCACCATTGCCGGAAGCACATCGTTTTACGAGTCGATGAACAACTGGCTTGACAGCATTCCACTGTCAGCCTTCCATCAATTATCAGACCATGGCAATCTTGCATTAATGCAATGAAAAATTGAAATGAAGAGGATCAATGTTGGAGGACATAACGAATATTTTTTTTCGAAGAGGAAATATCACAATACTGAAGAGGTGAATTTCGTTGAGAAACATAATATGACCTAGGACAAAACATTCGCACTCTTGTTGAACACAATAAAGAAAATAGATGGGGAATTCGATGGCTTTCACAACATTCATTAGTTTTAGAAATATCAAATATCGAAATAGCAAAACTCGCTTATCATAACAGTCAAGAATAATAAAATAACAAGCAATCATTGCAACACAATTTCACATGAAATATAACGGAGCACTGAATCAGTATGATTGATATCAATGATATGAAAAGACTTTTGGTTTATCAGAATAACTTATGATATGACTTCAAAATGCACAGTGAAATGCAGATTACTGTGATCACAAATTACTGTGATCCAAGGCCATCACAAAATCACAATGAAATGTTTTACAATTACGTTATTAATGATACGAAATCAATAAACCATAAGAATAAAAAACAGCACAAAGTATTCAGACGAAAAAATTGTCAAGACAAGGGAAAGAAACTAGTCATATGAAAATGTATAAGCTAACAGTAGCCGAACAATGGCTTATCGAATTGGAAGTATAAATGAAAAAAATAACGACGATAAGTGATTGAAAATGGAACTGACAACCAACGAATGGATGAAGACGATAATGAATTCGATTTCGATGTACCGATCTGATTAGTTCATTAAAATCACCTCATATCCATCCGTCGACATCGATTCCAGCCGATTATGGCTGCTTGAAATTGGCTTCAGAAATTGATTCCTTAATACATCAAGCGATACCAGCAATGTATCGCACATTAAATAACGAATAATTTAGATTTTTAAGAGGCAAAATTTTCAAGCGAAATATAAAATACAACGGAAACATTGATAAACAACATAAGAATATATGAAGAAGGACTAAAATAAATGATAAACTTATTTGTCGACCTAACATTACAATCTAGTTTTAGGATATCGCATCGTATTTACTGAAAGAATATTTTTTGCAATACTGCAAAACTTCATTTTTTTCGCATTGAAAATTTTTTCAAACAATTTTCACTAGCAAAATAACCTCACCGAAACCAAACGTTATCAACATAGCCATCAAATAAAACAAACAAAAAGAAACTGAAATTTTTTCTAAGTAATACTGAATAGATAAAGTAAAATATTTTTGTATTTTGTATTTTACTGATTTTTTTGTGGAATTTTATATTTTTTGAACAAAAATTAGTAACACAATGTTCCAACACAAAAATAAAAGAAAAATAGGAAAGAAAAGCTAAAAAATTTCCAACACGAAACTGAATAAATGAAAGAATATTTTTGTATTTTATATTTTCGAAATTTTTTTGGCGAATTTTATTTTTTTAAATGAAGAAAAATTAGTAAC